TGGCCTCTCTCTAACCTTCCTTATCAGCAAACATGTTTCCAGTCATTGACTGATTGAGTATTGAATCCAGTGGGTTAGAATAACAAGCAAGCACCTGGCATTTTCAGAATTAGGTCACCAATGGCTGCTCCTGTATTGCTCTTGTGACCGGTTTACTTTAAAGCCCAACTCCACCTTTTTAAATGGAATCTGTAAAGGTGCCCATACACCTTACGACCATCGCAAGACTTTTGTCTTGCGATGGTCGTATGCTTATTGAAAGCTCGTACGATCTGCCCACCTTGGACGGGCAGATCGTACTTGCGATCATCGAAAGCCCGCCCCGCTGAGGGGCGGGCTTCCGATGACCGCAATGCAGAACGGGCAGTGTGCGCCTGCGCACACCGGCCCGTTCCGCAGCTATCGGACGAGCAGGCTAGAAACCCGCCGACAATCGTACGATTCTCGGCGGGTTTTCGAGCATGTTGGTTCGACAAAAGACGTGCGACTGTACAGTAGAAATGGTCGCACGTCTTCGTTCACACTGCTCGATTCTCGTACGATCGCGGGATTTCGCCCGATTCTCGTACGAGAATCGAGCAGTGTATGGGCACCTTAAGTCACTGTGAAAAGCATTGTGCCATACCAAGTGTTGACAATGCAATGTAAATGGCCCCATTCCCAGAACACTGGATGGAGGATACAAAGCTGTAAACAAATATTTCTCAGTTATGTATCTGGTTGGGCAGACTTCAGCTTTTAAAGGGAAACTAGAATGGAAAATGTAATTTATAATTTTTTTTTTATATATTTATGTATTTACGATATATACAATCTTTGGTTTACAAATAAACAGCACATGACAAAGGATTCCCAGAGGACTGTGGCTTATGGGTTTTAGAGAGCGCTCAGCACTAGCTATCTCCCTTTTTTAATTTTTTTTTACACTTAATGTTATTGCTATCACATAGGGGGCTAACAATCCCCCTATGTGATAGCACAGGCACACTGACAGGTCCTCTTTATGGAGACATTAGGGGTCCTGGGGATCTGCTTCAGCAGCTTCTTCTCTGGCTATAGCAGCCAGAGAAATTACAGCTGAATGCGGAAGTAATCTAATACACATCACTTCTGCATTCAGACATCAGGGGGAGATCAGGAAGGAGGAAGACGCTGAAATCCCTCCCATCTTCCTCCTGACACCCACGCGAGCCGGTTCCGGTCCGCAGAGGGGGGAGCGTAGCCCGGGATTTAGGATGCAGGGGGGGGGGGGGGCGTGCGCAGGGCAGCACGTACAAGCGATCTGATGGCTATAGAGACGCGGATCGCTTGTATGTTTAACAGCCGTTAACGTTAATGGCTGTTTGCATTTGACAGTTTTTTTTTCTGCCCATGCGCATGTGAATAGAAAAAAAAGCTGTTTATTTACGGCGACCCGCCAATGTGAGCTTGCCATCCATCCGTTTTTTTACAATGGGCAGACGGCAAGTAGTTAAGCTCACTTTGATTAAAAACTGGAACAGAGCCACATGAAAAGGGACTTGTCACTGCTCTCACTAATTCCCTTGTGTGTTTAAATGTCAGCTTGAGTTATTGAATTCTGTAAACAACAATATTTATGTGCAATATTTATTATTTACTTGACGTTTCTCCACATCTGTGCAGTAATCCAGCATGAAACATGTGCAGAAACTTCCTGTAATAAAGACCGGTCACTGCTGCTCTCTCTCCTTGTGCAGGGTGACTGGTCTTGTCTCCGCAGGCAACCTGAAGTGGGTTGAGCCTGCTGGGCCCCTCCCACAGCTCTGCACTGAATGTATACATCTTGTGGCTCTTGTGGGACATATTTCATTGAAAATGTTTGTACCTGGAGTTGAGCTTTAAGACTCATGTTGTTTTCTCTCACTGAGAATTTCCTCCACTTCCTGTCCAAAATACAGAGCAGGAAGTAACAGTAGATCTTCCCTCTTAGATAGTTGTCACCAGGACAGGTGTTCTCCTTGGGGAGGATACTCCTCACCTCTTGTCTCTATTACAACTTATAATAAGTTTCCTCCACCCAGTGAACACGTGCCCCCCTGTTCCGCTCAGCGCCTTTGCACACGCATCTGTGGACTTTGCACTGAGGAGGTAAGATTAATTGGCACATCTCAGCATTAACAGTTCTGTTTGTTCAACTAGATTAATTAATGTACTTATATTATGTTCTTGTATGATCTCTAGACCTCTTCCTCCTGATGAAGCGCCCCGCGGCGCGAAACGCGTTGAGTACAGTAATGCGAGTACGGCATTTCTATTGAGTTTTGCAAGTACTGCATCATCACCCACCAAGTGTGGTTCCACTAGACCCAGTCTATGGATGAATTTCCTTATTGATTGTATCTAACTATGAATTTCTAATCATGTTTACAAATATTTTCTGATTATGTATCACCACCTCGTATGCGGAACCTAGCGGGTGAAAGGAGGTTCTCATCAAATCATGTGTTTGTTTGTTTTTTTATATTCATATGCATTTATCGATGCTTTTTATCTTTTAGACCTAATTAAAAATATATGTTTATACTTTATTGTTGTTCGAAGTTTATTGGTACTTGTCAATTGGCGCCAAAAACCCCAACTTTTCTTTCTCCTCTTTATTATGACTTAACCAGGGGTTGGCACCTCATTCAGGACCTGTGCACCACAAACCTTTTACAACTTAGGTTTTGGCTTTATTTGCACGTTACCATTTCTAGATGTCAATCTTCACTATTTGAGTTCAGGTTCGCTTCAATTTGTTATACATTTTGTACACAGTGTTGCAGGACTTTAAAGAACACGGTCAGCTTAATACATAAGCCTCAGAAAGGAGCTCTAATAATTACTTTTCAATATTGAAAACGTAATTTCAAAATAAGCCGCAGGAAAGAAGCTGTTCAAATCTGACAATAATTAGTTTATTTATACACATAGATATCTTAAGTCTTTGTATAAAACATCATTAATTTTGGATGTGTTTACGTTTGATAAACGTGTGCAATAAAGTCATATACAATTTTAATTTAGGTATTTAAGGCACTACTATAGAATGTTATTGTACACAAAAAAAAACCAAGAATAAATACATTTTCTGTATGAACACAAAGTAATGTACAAAGCCCCATAGCACTATGGGAAATAATGATCCTTCTAGAAAAAGAAGATGTTAAAACAATATATATACGAGACTGCATTGTAAAAAAAAGTACCCTTCCGGTACTGATAGAGGCCTGAAAATCATTGTAATTGTAATATAAAACTATACATTGTAACTATACATTTTAATACCTCCTACACTCAGGTAGTTAGACACCTAGAAACATCATTCTGACACTGCACAAGCCACTTAAATGTCCTTTTTTTAACAGAGCTACTGTAGGTATAGTGTCCGGCTATGTTTTTGATGCAGCAATGTGTAAAGTCTGGGGGGGGAAAAAAACTTGTTTTTATTATTTTATTAAAAAAAAAAAAAAAAGGGAAACATTTATTAAAGAAACTGCACAAAATTGTTATTCTCCGCCAGTAGAGGCAGTGTTGTACCCAGGGCTACCACCAGGGGGTGGCCTTAAAACGTATCTCCACTTTCCCAGCCAAACTGAGATAACACCTATTTTATGCTTGTTACACTTTCCCATTCACATGACATAAGCTAACAAAAAAAAAATATTAAAAAAATGCTTCTTGATGTATAAATGTATTTTCCTTGGCTTAGGGTTTCTTGTTTTTTTAGGGTTACACTTTGTACTTGCTTCTCCTTCTTGGTAATGTTAGGAGGGGTCGTGAGGAGTGATTGTTTTGTTTATTACATTTTGTAAACTAGATCTGAACACTGCATGTCCTAACAAAGGGTTAAAGAATTACAACCCTGCCTTGTGCATTATATCTTAATTAAGTTAATGAGAGAAACACAATCCACAAATTTCTGTCCTAAGTCTTTCTATAAGGACAGATGACTGTGAAGTGCTAAACAAACTGGATGCAGCCATTTTGCCTGCTGCAATAAAACAGGCATTTTTCCATAGTTGCAGAGACAAATCATGGGATTTATTTTGCCCAAAAATATGCTTCAAATGGTACGTGAGGCCAAAATGAATCAGTGGCAGCCATCATACTCTGAAAAAGAGCCAATGAGAGCACTGTAGTAACAGGGTTGTCCCAGTCACAATTGTGAGAAGGTCTGAAGGCAAAAAGGTAACAAGAGACCTTTTCTGTGACTTTCTGTATCTAAAAGACACTCTTTCCTCTATGGTGTTTGTAATGCAGGACGCTGGTACTGTTGGGATTGGGAATATGCTGCTCTTGTAACACCCAAGGGACACCGAACACAAATGCTTACTCTTGATTGCCACCTCGGTGCTAATATTTCATTACATACCAAAAGAAAACTTTACAGTAGGCTAATGGAAAAAAAATCAATTATACCCCATTATATTGAACTATTGCATATGAAGGTTGCTGAATGATAATAAGGGACCTCTTTAATATTTGCATCAGGGTTCTCTGCCTTTTTACCTATGTCTTGGTTTGCAACTGATAGTGAAATCTGTGGCAACATAAAAACCTCTTGCAGACTTTCTAATTGCTTTAGATGCCCCAAAACAGTTATACTGTAGATGCATACAATATACAATAAGCAGCCGTTCCACCCTCTTAAACATTTCAATTGACAAGAATGGCAGCCTAAATAAATGTTGGAAAGTGAAAGGGTTATTGGAAATACAAGAGGTGGCTAGGCTTTTGATTTTAGGGCCATGTGGTTTTAACTCCACCCCTGAGCAACCAACTGCTGTAAAAAGGAAACAGACTCTACCCCAGAGCTACAGATTGCTGTAAAAGGGAAACCAACTCTACCCCAGAGCTACAGATTGCTGTAAAAGGGAAACCAACTCTACCCCAGAGCTACAGATTGCTGTAAAAAGGAAACACACTCTACCCCAGAGCTACAGATTGCTGTAAAAAGGAAACACACTCTACCCCAGAGCTACAGACTGCTGTAAAATGAAAGAGAACAATTATTTCCATTTTATCCTTCAGACCTCAGTGATTAGTCTCCATTAAATGGATAAACTGCAGTCTCATGAATACTGCATTGAAATGCATAGTGGCTGTGTTTACGGTGTATTGATGGGTGTATGATGCTAGTAGCAACTGTGTTTCCTCTTCATTCATGCACATTACTGTGGAAGTTTGCAATAATTGAGTTCCATTGTCATCCATTTGCTGAATAATCCAGGCCAAGTCAAAGGCAGCATTATCTAAAGAGGAATGTAGTAGCTGAATCTGGAGCAGGTGGTGTCAGGATATAGTTCTCATAACTGTGATGATACATAGAGTTAATGTGGCGAATAAGGCAGCAGAAAGTGTGGAGACATATTTGGGGGTGGCACTGCTTTGCACACTTGATATCTCCACATACATGTCATCCTGTCCATCCTGAAGCCACAATAAGGAATCTGCTGTGTCTTCTCCGTTGATGTTTCTTGTACTAGATGGCATTGTGGTTGTACTGAAAGAAAGCAAAACGAGATATTTGTCACTATAATAGTCGAAGAACCCACTTAAACCTAACTAAGAGGGTTATTCACAAAAGGGTGAAGGGTTTAGAGAAGGCAGGGGAAGTGAACAATCTAGGACAACATAGCTGAACTGGCATCTGAGCGGAATTGGATAATTTTTCCAGCTCAGCTATGTTGTCCTAGATTGTTCACTTCCGCTGCCTGCTCCAAACGCTTCACCCTTTTGTGAATAACACTGTAAATGCTAATATATACTGTATGATGAATAGTACATATATTATATAAATCTTATAATCTTAATAATCTTATAATATGATATAAATCTGTGCATGACTATGCATGACTAAGCCTTAGATTTTGCCATCCACTCACTCATCGCCCACATGGAGACATTTTAGTTTATTTCAGAAACATGGAGACACAGCAGTTCATTTCAAAAGAAAATGATAAGACAAATAATCACTGGAAACATAAATAACATTTACTAATAACAGCTTTTTCAACAACACGGACATTGATATCCTGTTTGACGAGATTACCAGCTGTTGAATTTTTGGCCGCTCTGTCCTTGCCATCTGGAAATACATGCTCCTGACCTACTTTCCATTAGAGGTCCCTTTTTTTAATCTTATGCAAATGTCTCTATAAAAATGTATTATTTAACTATCAAAACTACACTAAACCATCCATCCAACATTTCATTAGAACTCTAGAATTTTATAAATTTAAGTTAAGTGCTTGATTTAGTCTAGGGGTCAGAATAAGGAAGATATACTCACCTCATTCTTGATCCTGCAGCACCTCTCTCCCCTTTCAGCTGTGGTATGGCCCTTGGCCTCCTCACTTCTAATGCAGGTGAAGGAACCTGCATTATACATGATGACGTCAGCAGGGCTTAGACCGCCAAAGCCCAGGGGAGAAGAGACTGCAGCGATTTGTAGAGCAGCCAGGCGGGATCAAGAATCAGGTGAGTATCCTGGAGTCCCTCTTTAAAAAAGTAGTTTCAAAATGACACTGGTGCCACCATGTCGGTAACAAATCATTTTCTGTGTATTAACTGTTCATAGTTGGCACAACTGCAGACGTGGTAGGGTGTGTCCTTTACCTACATACTTTGTGTTATAAGGTGTCCATCTTTCTCACTTTATAAAGTCAGGCGGTATGCATTGCCTGATGACTTATTACCACTGGGAAAGGAAGCTTCAAAACCCACCACATGAAAACGTTGAGCTTCAAAAGAAACATACCCAAAAACACCATTGGGATGGAATGTTGAATGCATCAGCTACACTGCCTGCCGTGTGGTTAGTACCTCCACTAGATTAATTAAAAGGGCAAACTGCTCTTTAAGCCACTGGACTGACCTCTTTAAAAAATAATCCTGAACACCTTCTTTTACCATTCCAGACCTACTCTTTAACTATTGATTAGAACATATCCCTTTCTAAGCAAGCTTTGACCATGTTCCCCCCATGTTCTGCAGCTCCAGGTGTGATCCTAAAGTGTTAGGTAGATTCCCTCTCTCTGCTCGCTCTGGTGACCATTATTACTAAGACAGAAAGTGTTGGGAAATCTTACATTTTAGAGTTGTCATGAGAACAAGAGATGGGGTAATTCTACCATTGGTGACACCTATTTTTGTAACAACTGTCTGAGAAGGAAATTTCCATCATTTTGCAGACATCTGGTGCTGTGCCTCCAGGAGAGGAAGGGAAATCTCCCCAAAGGCACACATACAGCAAAAACATAAACTAATAGGTGTTTTAACCATTTCTAATACCATTGAGAAGGCAACTTTGCCACTTCAACTGTAGTGAAACCACATCATGCCTCTGCTTCTGTGAATCACGCCTGTGGCTATGTCAAAGTCTTGCAATGCCTCAAGGGATTTGTAATTTCACCACAGCTGGAGTGCCGAGGATACCTACGCCTGTCCCACACTATCCAAAACTAATCAAAAAAGTTTGGGCCATGCACTTAAAGACCCAAAGAGAGAATACTGTAGAGAAAAGGTACAGAGGAAGGAACACCTGGGAGAACTAGGGAACAAATTCATGATTATTTATAGTCTTTAGACAAAATCTCCAATATAACAACACTTAAATCTGAATCTGAGACCTGATCCTGACCCTGACAAACAGCGGTGATGAATAATGTTAGTTGTTAGAAATAAAGAAAGCCATTGGGACAACTCTGTGATCTCTGAGGTACAATATTTATGTAAATAATGTTTTCATTCTTCAGATTTGTATGATTTATGTGACAAAGGCAATCATTCTGTACAAACTGACTAGTTATTATCCTTGAGCTAATAACCTTAATACTGAAGGTAGATTGCAGAGTATGCAGCTACTTAATAAGGAAAAGAGTTTACTAATGCAAATATTATGCTTTGTGTCTGGGCTCCAAGGATAAGCACATACTCCAAGCATGATTACAAAATAATACACAAATGGAATGTTCTGTATATATTATATATACACAATATTTTGTTAAAGTGGCATTGAACGTAAATTACAAATTGGTTTGCAGAAGAATTTTAAAAGTACGGGGGAAATTTTTCATGAAAACTGCAACCGGGTGATTTCCCATCCCCATACAGTACATGCGTTTTTCAGTTTGCGTTACCTAGTGAAGTACATTTCAGTGCAGAATCTTTGCCAATGAGAACAGTGGTGAATTTTACCACATAAACACATGCCCCCAAGTATCATCGATGCCTAAGCAGGTATGACTTACCATAGGCTCTAGTGCAAAATTCATGGGATCTGTTCCTGCTCATTGGACTCCGGCAAAAAGAAACTGCATAACCCCACTCCAGGCTGCAGCAACGATTCTTGCTTATTTATAGAAGAACTCCAGGATTTCTTAAAATTAACCCTTGCCATAGAGCTACCCACGGCAAGGGTTAATTTTAAGACGGAGAGGTAAAATCTCTCCGTCTTTATTTTGCATCACTCCCATCTCAGAGTGACTCTCCCTAGTGGGCACATAGGCAGCAATAAAATTTAGATCCTACCCATTCCATAGTCTTTCCTAAACTAAAAAGGTTTTGACTTTGGATACCCTTTATTCCAGGGGTGACCACAATTTTTGTGTTAAGATCTACTTTTCAAATGACGAGCTACATGAGATCTACCAACGAAAAAAACCCTCCCTCGCTCTCTCTCTCCTGGCTGTCTCTCCTTGCTCTCTCTCCTTGTTCATCCTCCTGGCTGTCTCTCCTGGCTGTCTTTCCTCGCTCTCTCTCCTGGCTTTCATTCTTCGTTTTTTCTCCTGACTGTCTCTCTTTGCTCTCTTGGCTGTCTCTCCTTGCTCTCTCCCCTGGCTGTCTCTCCCCTGGTAAATATACCAAAATGGAAAAGAGGGGCCACCATTCACACCCTTCATGATCTACCAGCATCAGCTTTGAGAGCTACTGGTAGATCACAATCTACCTAATGGGCACCCCTGCTTTATTCTAACAAGCAAAGTGTTTTTTTCTGCCTTCCTTGGTTTACAGGCACAACAACCTCACTAATCATCATGGTACATCTCACAAAGCAGCATATATCATAAATATATACTCTGTGTGTATATATATTGTATATATTGTGGAGAAGTAAAAAAGGGTGGCACAGACAAAAAGCCTGTGTCACCTTTCTAAACTTAGAAAATGGAGCAGATCCCGCTACTAATTAACAAAGGGGGCGCAGGTTACCCGAAGACAGTGCACATCCCGTATGTCTGGTCCAATCTGGTGGGGTTCTGCAGCAGTTTTCTATATTGAAAATGATAGTAATACATTTGGTAATTATGCACAAAATCTACGCTAGTTTCTATTTCACTATGGGTGGTGCAGAAACACCTGCTGGAGAGAAAGCTTTACCTGAGGTCCTGGAGTGTAAGGATTTCCCTGTTTCTGCTTCATTCATTCTGTGGACCTTCCTCCACCTCTTCTGCTGTTTCCTGAATAATTCCCCACCACTCATGCCATCATCAGTCTACGGGGGGCATCTATGACATGAAGAAGCAAAGCTCTGCCTCTGCCAAGATGGTCACCTCCACACAGAAACACGAGGCATGGTAAGTCAGCTAGGGAAAAGCTCGGCTACTGGGTGTCTACAGGGAATACTGGTACTAGACCTTTGTCCTCTGCTTGCCACAGTACAGGTCCTCTTTAAATATTAGTTTCAGTAATTAGTTTCAGACTTTTTTTCCTTCTTAATCATATTTTATACTCTTGTACAGAGACTCTTCTTTCACCCTGATATTTCACATCCTTTTCTGCCTCATTTTCTACACACCTCTATGACAGGCACATTCTGTGGCCCGATACTGTACCATTTCTGGGACAAGTGGTGACAGCCAACAAAGCGCCATGCTCAGAGCTGCAGGCCTAGCTGTCAGAGCTATTTGCTCACAGGCTGATAATGCTGTTATCTGGTGAGGAGTCTGTATTGCATTGTGAACACGGCTTGCGGGTCTATCTTATCCAATTCTTGGCGGCAATGTGTGAGAAAGAATGTTCTTTCTTATAGAATGAAACCACCCTCCCTACGCTGGAAGGCAGGTGCAAGACACACATAACTTAAACAACTTTCTATAATATTGTATTGAAATATTTTTTTCTGTTCAGAATGGTTTTTTTATATTTATATATTCTGTGCTGTTAAATTGTAAATTTGGGTAATAGGATCTGTTCAATCTTGGGCCCAGAATCTAGAGCCCCTTCAACACAGTCTCTTCTTACTTAAATTGGGAACCTTTAAATTGGGAACCTGCTACATCCAGTCATACGGGCCCAGGAGCAGCTTCACTGTATGTTGGATCTTCTGATACTAGGATCTCGGTAATGCACGATTTTAGCACAGGGCTGCTTGCTAATGGTACTCAGGATTCCAGCATAGGACATGGTGATAATGAGGAAGAATAGGGATTAGTTCTAGGCATTAGTTTACAGGCTAGGTTAGTGTTAGGCTTTCTAAAGGGGTTAGGTCAAGTTTTAGGG